TTTTTTTTTGGACTCGTTATCTACTTGTATTTCTACATGTCTATCTCTATCTGAACTAGAAATGAGATAGCATTTGTGCTTCAACAAATTTGACGTGCTTTTGTCGTTGAGTTTTAGAACGCTGTTACACCTTTTGCATGCCACTATATTGTCGATTTCTTGTCCGTCTTCATTTTGAATTCCTGCGTAAAACTCCCACACCCTGCTTCTACCTTGCCTTTGGACCAATTTATATTCTCCGTTTGAAATTTTTGTTTTAATTTGCGCATTGGTGGGATTTTGGATGGTAGGCGTTTCAGTTTCCATTGCTGATACTAAATTTAATGGTGTTAGCTTAATAACACAGGTTTAGAAAAAAAGTGTATGCATATTAAACCAAACCTATATATCCCTATGTTATTTGACACGCTGAATGCGAATCCGAAACCCGTCAGCCTCCACCACGTCAATTTGTGGTCAGTTGAAGGCCAAGTAGGGAAAAATTCATTGAATAAACCTGGAAGTTCGATAAATTCGTATAGATAACCTTCAGGAATCAAGGGACCCCCATATTCGAATTCAGCGACAACTAAAACAAAAAAAAAACATTATTTTAATTGAATAAATTTTTTGTCCTATTTGACCCTCAACTGACCTCGAACCTGACACTATGGAGGTTAACGAACCTCTGATTAGGGTTCTAAAACCCACATATATGAATTTTCAGGTTTATTCAATGCATTTTTCCCTGCTTGACGTTCAACTGACCACGAACCTGACGTGATAGAGGCTAACGGACCTCGGATTCGCATTCAGCCTGTCGAATAACATAGGGTTTGGTTTAATATGCATACACTTTTTTTGTAAACCTGTGTTATTTTTATCAATATTCGTTTATAATTAAAACATTTTTCTTTTATATTTTACTCACTTCTTTAAGATAATTTTTTTGCGGATCACACGAACGAGAGTTCAAATAATACACAATGCAAAATGTTAGCTAGTTGCGCGAAACAATAAAATAAGCCCCCTTTCTTCAACGAATCAAATTCGACAATGAAAATAAAATTTATGAATTTTCTTAACATTATGTTAAATGATAACATTTTGAAAGAAAAAACTTCATAAGTATTCGTATACTTCCTATGAAGTTTTCAAATACTGCTGAATTCAATCAATATACTCAAGTGTTTTGGAAAAGCGGAACAGTGTTTTATGTAGCAGAGCACTGTTGAGTAACATTGCTCAGTTATTCAAATTTATGATGTTCTCTTTTTTTCTTCCTATCTTTTTTAGTACTCTAAAATTAGTGTTCCATTTACTCATGTACACATGTGAAGAGTATTTCTGCTGGTATATTTGCAGACCTTTAGTAGATATGAATACGCACACCGAGTTAAAGCTCTCTGTTCGTTACTGATTTAATCTATTCAGAGAATAAGCTTTTAAAAAAGCTTCTTGTCAAAAAGTTGCATTTGTGACAAATACCAATCAGAGCATCTTTAAACAGTAAGACGAGGAATGTCACAGAGAAGCATCCGCTATTTACAGGGCCACATTGTGACCGTGTGTGGGGTCATATAAGATATAAGAAAAGAGAAGCCAAAATACCGAAAAACAAAGTGTGAGAAATGTTTACCGACAGGAAAAAGCTTCTAATGTTTTAGAGAGACTTCGGCGTCTTACGGAAATATCAATCACCGAACCGAGGCTGTAAAAATGAAAAAGGCGACTTGGTGACAGATGTCCAGAGGAGCCACCCCATACAGAGGATTTGAATGGCAATAGCACGGCGCAAAAATAATAAAGCATAAACGAACTCCTGACAGGAATACGCTTCGCAGCCTGATCCGCCCACTTCACTAGAATGGCAACGGAAGCTACAACAATTGGTGTTACTGCCAAAATCAAATAAGCTTCACTGGGATCGGTTTATAAACCGGCTTGCATGCTTGACATCGCCGGACAGGTCCTAGAACGCATTAGATCGTCCGGCATCAGTAAAGCTATCGAATTATCTGGTGAAATGGGACTGAACCGATGTGGTTTCCAGAAAAGATTCGATGTAGTAGACTTTTTTCCACAGTAAATGAAAAATTGTTCCATAAATGAACAGTGCGCCCTAATGGTAAACAATCAGGAAGTTGAAATGCTCCAGCTCCTCTCATTCTTAACGTTTAGTTCTCTCAAAACTTGTGTTTTCTAGCAGAGCGTTACCCAGAATTTTGTTCTTATTTGATCCTCCTTGAAAACGTTCTCGATACTTTCGTTCTCATTGAAAATGTTTCTGAAAGTTTCGTTCTCACTCTGTTCTTCTTGAGAATGTTCCCGAACTTTTTGTTCTCATTTTGTTCAAACTGCTCTCAATACTTTTGTTCCCGGTCAGTTCCTTTGTGGGAACGTTCTTGGCATTACATATTGCTCCCATGCAGAACTAAACCAAAATCGGAACGCGTTCTCGGTCCCTGTTTTTTTTTTTGCTTAAAAATTACTTGTTATCAATATTAATTAAAAGAGAAGCAGAATTAAACAGAAGATATTGATAACTTGAACTTGCAAATTTGTTACCTGCCTGGTGTTTGATATCGTCAAGTTGTTTTCTGTAAGTTTTTGACACAGAATCCGGTGGTTGAAATCCGAAAAATTACGTTTTTCGGCATTTTAGAAAAGCTAAGTTTGACGGGTTGAGAACGAGTCTTATGACAAAAAAAATTTGGCAGTTTCGATACCTCACTCAATCTTGTTGTGCAAGCTGCAGCCAGTTGCGGTCTGAGTGCTATAAAGGCCGATTCTGAACAGAAACTTCCTGGAAGTTTTCTCTCTTTTCCCTTTCCTCCTATCATGAATAAAAATCCTCTGAGGATTTTTTAGATCAAATTGCGGAGTTGAGCTGTCAAAAAAGTGGCAACAGGTCTTTCGAAGTTCGAATTTCCTTCTCTCCCAAATTTTAGGGGAAATGCTACTCCCTGGGAGTTAGTTATTGGAGGATTTCTTTCGGGAGAAACAAATAAACAAATTCCCGGAGAACAAGCTCCCTGGGAGTATTCAAAATTGAGCTGATAATCTTTTTCGAATTTCTGGAAGAACTGTTTGTATGTAGCGAGTATATTATTAAAAACAAGAATTTGATAATCGTGTACTTATTTCAAAAAGGACAACGAGTTTATGTAGCAAAATGTTAAAAATGGAAACAGGGCTTGGAATGACACTTTGAATAAAGTGAATTAAACTATCGAAACCTATAAAACCCAAGAGTGGATGTAACTATTCAGACCACTGTGGCTCGGTGATAAAGAAATTTGAGATATACAAAAATTACCTGGATGGCTTAGTGAGATTATGAGGCTTAGTGAGATTGAGGCTGTCCTTGGCATTCATGCTACTACCACACATTCAATATTGCAAGAACATTCGGCTGCTAAAAAGCTATGTGCGCGTTGGACGTAGCTTAGATATATGCCCAGGACCAAGCCAATCCCAGACCCAGGAAAAGGCCAATCAGCTATGT